TCTCTCCATCTCTCCCCCTCTCGCTATCTCTCTCTCTCTCTCTCTACGTCGTTTACCATCTTCATCTTTCATAATGTTGTCTACTATTCCGCCATTTACTTGCATGCCGGCATCATCCCTTCCTTGAGATTAATTATTATAACATATCCCTGATGTTATACGTCAGACATTATACTTTAACGAAAAGATATAATCCAAAAAAAAAGAAGATACGTACACAAAAGAAAAACAATCAGAGCTGGGGGGGGGGGGGGGGGGATCGGAGATAACTTTCAATCTCCCCCTCTTTCTCAAATAATTTATATCTCCTTTCACATATACCCCCCCCCCCCTCTCACATATACCTTAGTATAGGGAACGCTATAAAGAGTGAGCGGCTGATAAAGTCGAAATGAGAAGAATATTACTGTCCAATACTTATACAAATAAAACTTTTGAATGTAAATCTCTGTTGCATCAAACTGCTATACAAAAATGTTTATTATGCTATATTGACGTTACTATACGTCGGACATCATACTGTAGCCAGAAAATATAAACAAACAAAAAAAGAGACAAACTAAATAATAAATCTGAGCTTTGAAGGGGGGACGTCGGTGATACAAAATATCATAATAATAAATCCAACGTACACCTGATCAAAACTCGTTTTCGGAGACTAAATCGAGTACAACCTCGCGATCTTGCTTTAGACTTATAATACTGCTTGTTGTTGTTGACAATAGAGAGCTGCATGACCTTTGGATTTTCCTTTCATGTGCAGTGAAGTGCATTGTTCCGCGCGTGCCGCGTGCCGTTATAGGCTTTGGCTTTGCGCTGCTCCCAATTGAAATACCAGCAGTATTGGCATTCTGTGCATGGAAGGTCTCAGCGAAAGTCAATATCTGTGGGACAGACATCGCGGAGCTCCATACGCTGCTGTACGAATTTCATATGAGAGAAAACTTGACATGCTTATGAAAAATTACAATTATAATGAATAATATTTAAGTAAACAAAACAGGAGTAATGGATAATGATAGCATATACTTTGGATAAACCCTCAAATCCACTAGTTTAGTGGATTAATGGCAGGAAAAGGCAATTTTAGGCTTGTAAAGACGTCATCTACCTGCCTATTATGGGAACCTGGTATAACAGGTTCCCGTCTGTGAGTGGGCTCCACGGGAGCCTGGTATACCAGGTTCCCGGAAGGAACGGGTTAAATACTTTAACAAAAGTAACCTTATAATCTCATGTTCGTAAAATTATCATTGAATCTGTCAATGCATTGAGAAGGGGGTTAAATAATATAGATTGGTCATGTAAATAATAATAATAATAATAATAATAATAATAATAATAATAATAATAATAATAATAATAATAATAATAATAAATAATATTTTGTAATCACTCGTTGAGTAGATTATATAATAAATATTTACCTCTTGTACCTAATAAATCTAAAAGAACGGGATATTTATCAAGGAGTATCAAGAAGAAAAAATAATTGTATAAAACATTTATTCGCAATAGATCTCATAGAAATGAATATAAGTTTAAATCTTACCGAAATATTAGGTAAATAATTTATTATAGCAAAACAACGATATTATTGTGCTCAATTTGGGAAAATAGAAAGTAATGTAAAGGGTACATGAAAAATTATGAATATTTTATTGAACAAAATAATGCCCTCATTGCATTTGTATTTTGTAAATAATGAGTTAATTGATACAGAATGAACAAACTATCACAAATGAATTTATTTCTTATTTTAGTTCTTGTTGTTCTACTTTCCATGATGATATTTCTCGACTAGTTACGTTGTCCCATACTGATTATTTGTGTGATCCTGTATCTGAAACATTATATTTTAATGCTATAACTGGCAGGATTTATTGGAAGTTTGTGAATTATCAAAAAACGCCCATTCGTGTGGATATGATAATATAAGTTGTAAAATATTTAAACAGATAATTTATTAGATAACTAAACCTTTGTAATATCTTTAAAACGAAATCATCAATTTCTATTTTTCCTAGTAAATTAAAGATTGCAACAATTATACCTGTCCATAAAAAAAGACGATTGTCATTTATTCAAAAATTATCGACCGATATCTTTATTGCCTTGTTTATCGAAACTATCGGGAAAATGTGTTTATAATCGTTCAAATAATTTTCATCTAAAAATGATGTACTCTGTGATTGTCAATTTGGTTTTAGAAAAAAAATTCTACAACCCATGCTTTAATTGATTTACAGGATGAAACAGCTTTAGCAATGGAAAACATAATGTTTGTATTGGAATATATGTATGGAACTTTCGAAAGCTTTCAATATTGTTGATCATTCAATTCTTTTGTCAAAATTATTCTCATGGAATACGTGGGATCCTATTTGATCTTTTACAAGATTATTTACACAATTGTCTCCAATGTACTATGTTTAAATATTATATATCCGATTTTCAGTTATGACATGTGGAGTCCCCTAAGGGTCTATCATATGTCCCTTTTTGTTCTTAATACATATTAATGATCTGGTTAAATCCTCTGAAAACTTTGAATATTTTATGTACGCCGATGAATCAACTCTTAATTTTTACTCAATCTGAAACTAGTAACGTTAAAATTAATGTTAATGAAAAAGTGAATAACGTGGCTAAGTGGCTCAAAGCTCATGGATTGATTCTTAATCTGAGCAAAACCAACTATTGTATATTTCAAATAAAAAAAACATACTCTTTCAAATCTGTTTAGCAATAAATAAGCATATATCACTTTAAATGAATTATGTATGTATATCTAAGAAAGAAGATATCTAGTTTGGATGCACATGTTCATATTGTTGTCAAAATGAATAGGTATACTGCATAAATAAAAGACTTATGTAACTCTCTCGATATTAAATACACTATATAATTCACTCACATTGTCTTATTTTACATATTGTATTATTATTTGTGGAAATTCAAGTCAAATGAAAATGAACACTCTTTACAAGTTACAGAAAAATGCCCTTCGCATTGTTACAGAAGGTAGCTTAACATCTCATTCTGGTCCATTATTCTTCATATTAAAGTGCTTGAATATTTTTGATTTGTTTATATATCCCAAAGCATTAGTTGGCTTCATTTTTGTCTTTAATTGATTCCATGTATAAGATAGCTGCATTGTTTCAATTAATAATGAAATTCATGCTTATAGTACTAGATTTTGTAATTTGTTTCATTTATGGATAGTCAACTTTCGCCCCAAAATCAGTTAGAAATGTTAAATATATAGTAATGTGAATGCAGAAAAACTCGGGGAGTCGGAGGGTTAAGAAAAAGGATAGAAAGCGACGCAAAGTAGAAGTGTTGTGTGGACATTGAAGAGAGAGAGAGAGAGAGAGAGAGAGGGGAATCACTGAGAGCCCCTGGACATAGTGTTCTCGGACCGAGACTACAATAAAGGTGCGCTGAATACTAGACTACGCTCACTTAGCGAATGAGTGTCTTGATTGGGCATCAGTACATTTATGAAAGAAAAGGGTCTTAACCTTTCATTATTATAAATCAGAATAATGTTCTTGTGAAACTGTTTTACTCCTGGTTTTCTGTGCCTATTCTACCCTCTTATCAAGGAAGGATATTAGAAGACGACTGAACTATCTATAGTAAGTTGATTTTTCTAATAACGTGTGTTATAATGAAAGTATAAAGGTGTTTCTGAGCTTACCAATTACAATATATACTACTATTCACATTGCATACACACAATGCATTCACAATGTTCCCATAATTACCGAAACATTGGCTCACACACAAATCCATTTGTTCTGTTCATTTGTTTAGAACACAATTTTTTTAATATAAAGTATTCACTGACTGGTTCAATTTAACTAATATTTCCAAGTTATTTCTCAGCTTATTTTCACGAGGCAATTAATATTCTGCTTGGCATAAAGGAGTTGAAGAGTAATGTTTATTTCTGTCACAGCTATACTACATGGATGTTATATGATCATGTAATGTATCTGTCATGGGGCATTGAGGGCAAGTATGAATCCTTTTTGTATTCTTCTTTTAAATATTAGTAGATGTTTATATTCAACACACCAACATAGAAGAGAGAAACAAAGAGGCAAAAATAAGAAGACTGAAAGCGGTATAATGATGGACAAAGAAAGAGCATAAGGGAGAGAGCAATATGAGAGAGAGAGGGAGAGAGAGAGGGGGGCAGAGAGGTAAATAGAGATGGGGAAAACCGAGTCAATAACTATTTGATAATTAGGTATACAGGTCCACCTTGTAAACGCAAGGGGGTCAAAGTTGATATAGGGAAGTGCACTATTTTGTGTATTAGAGGTACAGTCATGACAATTATTTGCACTTAATCAATCGAATCAGAGCAGTTTGGGTTTCCAAATCATGATCCTGCTTTCCGAATAGTAAACATAATCATATACAGTGTATGAACAAAGTGCCAGAAAACAAAACAGTTAAGGACAGAGTCAGAGGAAGTTTATAAACAAAAAGATTAGCAAGTGGTGAGGAAGAATACCATAATCATATATTACGTAGTAATCGTCACAATATTTCTGTTATTAATAAGGAGACAATAGTAAAGCAATACACAGTGAATCGAAAACTCGATTGAACCACATTTTGTTCAATATAAGGTATATATTAATATTTGCAAGATATCAATTACATCATACATGTCTTTACAAAATAAACATTCTTCCATTTGCTAGAAGAAAACAAATACAAAAGCAACTCAAAGTTTATAGTTATAAGTTTTTTGGTTAATATTGAGTTAGATCCTTCATCTTTTCTTTCTTATCTTCTTTCTAAGGAACTATTAACTCATATTTCAGTCATTTCTCCAACGCTTGTGTATTTGTACTTAAACTCGGAAGAGGAATGATCAACTGGAAACGATAGGAAAGTTTAATTATTGATACAATCAGTTGAAATCATACTTTTCATTCAAGATCCCGAGGTATTCAAGGCTCATGTGCTACAGAATTTTGAAAAGTAGGTTTATTGTTTTATTATTTTATTGCCTACATATGCAGATGTCTCCTCTAGGTCTATCAATCCCGCTATTCTTGCTTCATGTCTATGACGTCACTGGGTTCCAAGAGCTCCAGCCAATAGGAGAGCTTCTTTGATTGGATCCAGCTGTGACTGTTGTCAAATGTGACCACACCTGGTAGTAAAAGGGAGAAAAGCGAGACAAATTAAATGTTGTTAAATAGGCCCCAAGTATGCAAAAGAAGCAATAACAAGAAAAGCAGAAGATCGATCAAGTAGGCCTATAGATCCGCATTATATGCTTCGTAATTTATGTTAGGTAATATAGGTGTTATAATACATTCACAAACTGTATGCTCTCTCAAAATGTGATCAAAAAAGATAAAGACTCATTGTAAATAAGAAATCCGATCCTTTATAAACGAGAATATGAAGGTAAAATTTATATATGAACATACGACTTTCTACTTTCCGATTTTTATTTTCTATTGTGTAATGGGCTTCATGCAAAGGAAGAAAATGTGGAATGATGCAAAATACTATCAAAATAATGAAACAGTCGCCCACTTACATTTGCCGGGTTTGGTTATCAAGACTTCACCGTTCTCAGGTACCATGTGACTGTTGTATTTCTCCAGTTTCAAAATGGCCGTCTTCTTACCCTTCGAGTCCACGAGATGAAAGCCGAATTTGATGTCGTTGCAATCTGTCTGGAATTCGTACCTAAAATACCCAAATAAAAGCAAGAAAAGACCATGTCAAAACGATATAGCTATTCACGTGTGCAATGCGTCAGCATTTACCTCCACATGGTAGCATACAAATAATATGTTATCGTCATAAGTATTTGATAAGCTAGCACTTCGATACTTATTAATTCATTCACCTGTTGCGAATAATCGTATTGAAATAATCAGAATTCAAACAGCATACACTACGTGCTAATTGGTAGGTCAATCTACAATGTTTGTCCTACCTAGCAACAACTATTTTATGCGATGTGCATTCTGACTTTTGAGATGCAAAAAAAATAAATAAATGACAGGTGAATGTAATAGCTCTTCGCTAGGTTAACGTATATATAAAATGTATTATCTATTCAGTTTGAAAGGTAATATCTCAGCATAACTGCTGGAAGTGGTGGCGCCCGCACTAGCCGACCTCAACCCAGCTTCTGCATCGAAACCGCACGAAATCTACTTTTTCATTTTCGATTGTAAACAAACAACCCTGGTATATACTCCGAGTGCCTAGTGAGAGCATTCACACGGTCAACTTACGCTATCCTCTAGTCGTGTAAGCCCGTTACTCCTGGAAAAATCCAGGAGTAAATCAGTCGGCGTAACGGTCGGCGTAGCTAACACGACTATCGTTCAGACGGTCACTACTCCGACCTTTACGCCGACCTTTCCATACTATTGCCGACTAGCTCTAGTTTAGCGCCAGCCAAAATTGCCATCGTGTGAACACGGCTGATGTCCGTTATAGGCTAGATAGGTGTCAAATGCCCATGAATGCCAAAGAAAGAGCTGCATTAACATTTTTGAAACAATAGACCGGTTTACTAACATATTTTTGTTTATTGATGTTTATTTCCTGGGAACCTAGTGACGAGTTATTCCATTAACAAGTGGGTTAATGAATGAACTACAATATTTGGAACCAAGTCTGCTTACATTACTTGTTGCTGTGTCTGGCGAGCACCATATATGCTTTCAGTTTTTCAAGTACAACCATTTTTGAAAAGTATGCCTCAAATTAAAAACATGTTAGTAAACCGGTTTATTGTATTGATAACACTTATACCTGATACCTCAAGACACTGTTGGGCTTTGTAACCTGGTACTCGAATTCCACGACTCCTGCCCTAGATACCTGGTGTGTAGCCCATGTGTGGGGTGGCTCCCGGTCTTTCAGGTAGAAGGAGATGGGTATCTTGCCTCCACTCTTGATCTATGCCATGTTTCATAGGAAAAATTAAACATAACAAAAATTGAGCCGAGAACAGTAGGTAAAATATTTTTAACTCACATAATATATCAACAAGGCATTTGACAAATAGATGTAAATAAATTCCTCCTCACTTGCATTTCTCGTTAGTACCCCCCCCCCCTCCCCTGCAGTTTTATTTTACGTGGGGGTGGGGACTTCAACAAAGACAGTAACAAAAAATCAATGTACTTTAATATACCAGATGGCAGTTAGTTTGGAATTAAACTGTTCTAATACTAGAATTTTATATGTGTTAATTCAAAGGAAATTTTAGAGAAAATTAATCCAGTATCCATGTAACAACAGGTGAGATAATACAATATCATGTGAGATAAACTCTTGAAGATATTATGGTACGTAGCCATGAAGAAAATGACTATGAAAAAATACTAAATTTATTGATTTTGGATCGCCTACCAATAGGATTCCGGGCTACTTTATAAAGGATATCTCGCTTTACCAGTGAAGAACACATCTCGTTTCCATCAGGATCTGTCTTGGCTCCTCCCCAGTAAACCGGCAGCTGATCGGGGTCTATCTGCTTCAACAAAACTTCCTTCCAGTTACCTGGAAATGTTAGATAAAAACCCAAGTATTGTTGAGAATAGATCCAATTTTAAACTAAGTATGTTCCCTTATAGAATTGGAGAATCAACAATTATTACACGTAAAACTTGTCAATCAAAAGGGAAGCTTTGACAAGTTCCTCGGATAGGACTTGAAACTGTAGCCCCTGGTTGATTTTCTAAACCCAAATACTTTGATCTTAAAGGTAATACAAAGTTTTGGGAAATTTTGAAAATAAGCAGGATAGTAATTCTTTACAATTTTGATATATTTGGATGCCCCTGTGGATGTATCATAACCAGCTCTCACACTCTGCCGTGTAGGCCTACCGTCCACCTGCCGGGTTATTAAAAACGACAGAGTCCAGAACGTTGGGTTTTGAGCGAACTTGTCCCCGGCCGCAAAAAAAAAAAATCATAAAATTAATCTTTTCACCGTTTCGTTGCCATCTTCTGACCGTCCTCACCGGGCGCATACCGGGTGTTGGACGTGCTTCTACCGTCTTCACCGCCCAGATTGACTTTTGTTGAAAATTTTGGCCGTTTCCATACCGGGCCCATACCGGGTCTCGAACGTGTGCACCGGGTTTGTAGCAGCCACCTACCAGTCACTTAGCGTCCCCTCACCGCTCGGAGCGTCCTGTGAGCGAGTCCCCGGACTGCTGACGTCATGACACGACTGCCATAAATACCCCGATTTGAACGGCAACGGTCAGTCCGCTCTCCATTTTTCTTCAAGGAAACTCCACGACACTTCTCCTCATCTTTTGATCACATATTTACTGCATATTTTTTTGCCCGTTTATCACCGTTCTGTAACGGGTTATGAGCGTGTTGTGAACGTGTTCATACAGTGTGACCGTTTTCATAACGTATTCATACCGTCCTCATACCGTTCAACACCGTCCTCTTGCCGCTTACTTGCGGCCGGTGGCAGTGCCAGCCGGCCAAAGTTTTGAACATGCCCAAAACTTTCGCCGGGTCCCACCGGGTGTAAATAAGCGCCAACGCCCTATTAACGTGTTGCCCGCTTTGATAACGAACCACCGTGTGCCCTCGCCGTTCTCCACCGTCCACAGACATTTTCGCGCACGGTGGCACACTGTAGGCCTACACGGCAGAGTGTGAGAGTCACTTTAAGAATTTAACCCCTGAAACATTTTTACTTTCGAGAAAAATTAAATATAAAAATTTACCGGTGCTCTCGGTAAATGTTGATAAATTTCAAATAGCGCTTACGGCCATACAATGGTAGCTGCGACCAGGAAAATCTCAGAATATGTATTTGTGATATGTCATTTCCAAACGGGAATAGCCGATTGGTCAATTTTAATCAAAAAACATTGTTTTATGGCTTAATTAATATCTTGACCTTGAGAGGGAGCTTTACAGCATAAAGAGTTTATTATTTACAATTTCATAACTTAAGACTCGATTTCAACCGCGACAATGATCACTGAATATTGTAGGATCGTATATGCTTCCAATATGTTCATTTGAACCAAATTCATGACCCCATACCAAAACTTTGTATTACCTTTAACAGTCAAGTACAAACAATTATGGCATCATCATCAGATCATTGTTTTTTCATTTTTATCATCATCACCAAATTTATACTTTTTCGATTATGAATTTTAACCTCACTTCCTAGAACGTGTAGTTTCTTCCTTGTCTCCTCTTGTAGGAATGGTTTGAAGATGGTGTAAGCGACCGGGAACACCATGGGTGCACGGATAATGTACATACGATGAATGAGCTCAGGATAATGTTGCTCAGCTAGGACAGCCATCTGCGATAAGATAAAACATGAGAATTTGGAAGATATTCAAGCAATTAACCCCTTTAAAGTGTTCAGATAGCGCAATTGTCAAGGATCAGCAGCGTATATACTTGGGCAGGACTTCAGGAAGCCACATCAAAAGGCGAAAAAAAAATAGGAGAAGAGAGAAAGACAGACAGAGAGACACAGAAACGGACAAAAAAAAAACTGAGAGAGCGGGAAACACACACACACACACACACACACCTTTCGAACCATCCATTTAATTGGTGTCTCTGTCAATTGACATTTCATCCACATCCTAAGACCGGTTTCACCACCACTCGCCCCCTCCCCCTCAATGTGTTGACAAGGCCCCTCGGTCAAGGAACATGGTTAATCGAGCCTCTTTTCCATGTTATATTAATGCACAGAGAAAAATCATAAATAACTGTTAATTTTGTCACTCTGTTGATGTCGCCATAAGTGGGCTGCTGACCTAACGATGATATTTTAAGTCCCCTTTTTCGTTAATTTATGCTACCCCATATTGTTAATGATATAAATCGAATTCGGTTGTAGGCATAAACATCATGCCAACCTTATTAAGTTCCTCCTTTCGAAACAATATTGATTTCATTCTCCATGAAGATTTCAAGTAAAAGGGACAATAGAATCAAATCAATCAAAATAATCAATTAAAACACATTAAAAAAATATGAAAAATTGACAAATGAAGGTAGTCACCTTGAGGAAAATATCAATACTAGGTTTCCATAGATGATGTACTCCAAGGTTCTCCATGTCAAAGATCATCAAAGATCCCTCAGTATGCTTCAATCCTCTCTTTAAACAAAACAGATAATAACGATGGATTAGGAATTATCCATTCTTTTCAGATTATAATGTTCATCTATATAAAGGGCCCTCATGAAGTGCGATTGATTCTGATAAAAAAAATATAGCCGTATAGAATAGAAAGTATAGTCATAGAAAACATGGTCATAAAGTGAGGGTCGGATTTATTCAAGTGTTACTTTTCACATTGAGTTTCCTCCTTTCTTCTCTGCCTGTCTGTCTCTATTTTTCCTCTTTTCTCTCTATTCGATGGGGGACACCCCCCCCCCGTTTCTACGCCACTAAATATAACACTAAGTCGATACCTGTTCTGAAAGACGCGCATGACTTTGCATCAGGTCCTCAAGTGAATGAGCATAGGTCTTGAGGATATCACTGGTCTTGGCTGAATATAGCACTCCTAAAATCAATCATAAAACCAGTTTAAGTGATTCAATTCAGTGGCAGATTCATCATCCATATATCTGACCACAAAAATCTGTTTTTAGGCCTACACGTATGTACAGCTATGTATCAGAAGTAGGTTTGGTTTGCCGGGGAAGTCTCCATGTGCCCTCGATCTTGGATCACACAATGTCATCATATTATTCAGACATGATTTTCTTGTGATTTATTTATGATCACTTGATGGCATTGGTAGCAATAAGACTGAATAAGTTTGTGATCAAACATGAGTGTTTCTAACCCCCTATGTAGAAGTTTGACATATTTCACACATTCTCATTTTACAATGAGTACCTTTAGGATCGAAGTTACCCATTGGTGATATATAAACACCATGACCCTCTTTGTCCAATCCAGATACTCCTCCACACCAGTATGTTTTCAAGGCCTTAAGAAAAAGAGGGAAAATAAAAGCAAATTCAAAGATGACACGTTCATATTCTTTAAATTGTTGTAATAATTTAAATGAGGCGAGAATAAAAATATAGAAAATACATACATATATAATTATATAGAGAGAGATATACCATGGACCAACTTAGTGTATTAACCGCACGTGGTACATTAACCGGGCATCATAAAAACTGGTATATTTATAACCCTAACCCTAAATTCAAAACAATATAACTAATTTAACTAATGACTAATGATTAAACCTTTTATTTCTTGGGAGACCTTAAATTTGTCTCTGCCTGCAAACGTAATTAGAGGGCAGTAATTCTTTTGTGCAATCGTAAAAGGGACACGAAATTGTGCTGTTAATAAAGACCATGTCTGCTTATTGACTCATTTGTTCACGTCTTTTTGTTGTTGTCCGTCTAATGACGTCTTAAGTACGATTTATATATATATATATATATATATATATATATATATATACACCGTATGGCGTCATTAGACGGACATATCTAGTGACAAAATGAGTCATTAAGTAGACATGGTTATTCGCAGAACTTGTCATGTCCTGTTAATGTATGAACAAAAGAATTACTGGCCTCTACGTACGTTTGCAGGCAGAAGAACTTAAAGGCCTGCCACGAAAAAAAAGGTTTAATCATTGGCCATTAGTTAATTAGTTATAGGGTTAGGGTTTGGGATAGGGTTAGGGTTAATATACTAGTTTTTTGTTATGTAGTCCGGTTAATGCACCATGTAGGGTTATACATAGATGTCCTGTTGATACACATGTAGGGTTATATATGTTCATATATGTGCCTGTAAGCTTATATCCATATAGTAGTCAAATTGTTAAATAACAGAAGAAACATGACAGCAAAGATTTACCTCAGGGACCTCGAACGTTTCCAAAATGGTGTCGATGTTGTTCTCTTTTCTCCAAGTAACATCCTAAATGATTGGAATAATCGAACAAAATAAGTTTCATCAAAAACGAAAAAACATGGAAATTTAAAGATACGTAGAAATTCAGTATTGGATCAAGAATTCTCTTGAATCGGGAGGGGAAGGGGGAAATAACGAAGGTATTGTATTTAAATATCTTACTCAAGAATACACTTTTTAATCTAATGGAAAAATTGCAAAGAATATATTTCACAATTATGTTGACAATATTTATATGTATTCAATTAAAAATTAAACGATTATAGGCCTACTGGAATGGAAGTGTGGTAAGATTCAAGCACTTTCAACTTTTAATTTCATTTAAACTGAACTGTTTGAATGTTGGGTAAAACAAAATTTTACCAAACTGTATTTTGTTTAATCCATTACAACAACAAAAAATTAAAACTTTTCACGCGCTTGAAAATTAAACGTACCGACACGCACTTTCACACGAAATTTAACCTAACACAAGTTGAGTCAATTGACTATAATTTTTTTCTTAATGAGAAATATATATCATGATCTTTATCTTTAATATCTTACTGTGCACACAACTTTGGACTATCTGGCATGAAGTCAGGCCAATTAACTTACGTTTCTGAACATCACCTCGGTCTTATTAAGGTCAAATTTCCTTGCTGAAAGAAGAAAAGAGAAGAAAAAGACCAGAAAAATATTTTTACACAAGTTCATGAATCGAACAGTGTTTAGCAAACTTTGTAGAAGATCAGGGGGAGGGGACACGCACGTCCGCGATATATACACAAAGAGGGGAATAATGAAAATGTTACGTACCCTTTGTGGCTCAAAATGCTGTCGATTTTGCCAACCATTGTGGCAGTGCCCTCTCCCCGGATACGCCAATAAATGTATACAATAAACAAAACCAGAATCATGTGCATAGTAGTCATCGTGTTCGTACCATGTTTGGACATTTCAATAAATAACGTACAAGCCTATTGAAATCGCCTTAGGTTGATTTTTCCAAAATATTTTCGATCGTAGTAATACTAATTTCAGAAAAATAAATGATCGTTTCGACTTACCCCGTAAGAATCGCAGTAATAATACATCATTATGCTCTGGTTTCAAGATATCGGCAACATTTTCCTTGAACTAATTTAAATGAATGCATGCAAAAGAAGAAAAAAAAAACAATTGTACTTATACCATACTCTATGAATTCTAAGATAATCAACATTTCAGAAAATTATTATGCTTTTGTTTTTATTGCACTAAGACGTTTTTGTTGTTGTTGTTGTTTTTACACTGTTTTTTTTTAAACTGACGAGTGTATAGGTAATTTGCCCTAAAAACACAAAAGCTTATAAATTAATGAATAGTAATTTAAAAATGACACTGACAAAACAAAGATTGATACTCGACGTGACACCAAATCAGGCAAGCATATAAATCACTTGTAAATGTAATCAGTAGTTAGACCTTCAACATGCCACTTGTATTAATTACCATGACAATTATAAAATGGCAATTAATTAGCGATTGTTACGGGCAGTGTTACCAGATAAGGCAAACAATGATTCACCTGTAAATCAACAATATGACAAAGAAAGGCACTTTAGTATATGAAAAAATTCGTCAAATGGAACTCGAATAGAAATAGTTACTCGACGTGGCACTAACTCGAGCTATCACACGATTCACCTGCACAATTTTAGACAGAGTGAACTCAATTGAACTTATCATTGAAGAGCATATCAGTGAAACATCTGGAGTTCAACATCAAAAATGTTATTAATAAACACACGTTTCCAATAATAATAATATTCAGTTATTCACAGCAAAGACAGCATGAGAGCAAATTACCTGTAAACTGGTCAGTAAAAAAATAATAGTGTCAAAACAACAACAACAAAAACGCCTTAGTGCAATAAAAACAAAAACAAAATAATTTTCTGAAATGTTGATTATCTTAACTGGAGTTCAACATCAAAAATGTTATTAACAAACACAAGTTTCCAATAATAATGACATTCAGTTATTCACAGCAAACATAAACAGTATTTAGCCATTCACTTGCCACTAGTCTCAATCAGCCCAATAAACAGAACACTTAAAAGTAACCTCTTTTGGGAGTGTATTTTAAGTGATTTTAAAGTATAGTGCCTTTTGAACTACATTTAAACGTTATCGACACGTGCCTTCATTCAAACAAAAAAGGTATTCCTGTTCACGTTTTCATCTAACCTAAAAACCACCAGTTTATCACGCGACTGGAGTAACGTGATTCCACTTACCTCTGTAAATAAAGTGTTTATGACCAAATAACCACTTAACCAAGCAACGAGTTTTTTGTCCGTTAACCGATGGTGGCGATAAATACGTAATTATTTGGTCTTGTAAGCACCTTTATCGATTGGTTTCACAGGTTATCCAAGGTTGATGGTAATAATCACGTTACTTACACCGGCTAATCGTCTTATTGTTCTGTCCGTGACTTTCTGGTTTTATTAAATTAGTAATTCGGAGGTGTCTTACACACCTCTTTAAATGGTTTCAAATTTACCATAAATTTCTTGGTTATGATCACGTGGCTCAAGCTGATTACTAATCTAAGCTGTGAATCCGTGACTTTTAGGTGTGAAAAATGAGTAATTATTAGGTGTCTTAAAACACCTATTTAAATGGTAGTCAAAGTTGCCAGCAGTTCCGCGGTGATAATCTCTTGACTCAAATGGAATATTAATCGAAGCTGGGCATACGTGACTTTTAGGTGTGAAAAATTAGTAATGATTAGGTGTCTTAAAGCATATATTTAAATGGTAGTCAAAGTTGCCATAAGTTCCGCGGTGATGATCCCGTTAGTCAAACGGATTATTAATCTAAGCTGGGCATACGTGACCTTTAGGTGTGAAAAATTAGTAATTATTAGGTGTCTTAAAACACCTATTTAAATGGTAGTCAACGTTGCCAGCAGTTCCGCGGTGATGATCTCGTGACTCAAACGGATTATTTATATAAGCTGGGTATTCCGTGTTTTCCAGGTGTGAAAATGAGTTATTCTTGGGTGTCTTGATGGTTTCACAGTTACCATTTAAGTTCCGTGGTGATAATACCATGACTGTTGGCATATTTCTATGTTCACCAGTTGATAACTGACTGTTGGTATATTTTCATTGCACCAGTTGATAACTGGAGTGTGCATATTTCCAGTTGCACCGGTTGATGACTGAGTGTTGGCATATTTCGAGTTGAACCAGCTGACACCAGTTAATTTGCATATTGAAAATGGGGTGCGTGCAGATCTATGTTTTTTAAACAATTTATCTGAATTTACAGCATATTTCTTAATTACTGATGATTTAGTTATATGCAATTCATTTCGAAAATACTACAAATATAAATTACTAGTTATTAGGACATTTCGCTACTTCATGTAAATTACATTTATTTAAACATGAATAAGGGAAACATTAACTAAGAACTAAAATAATTTCAATAAAGTACAAGTATACGAAAAATTTTCGATTAATTAAATTATGTAAGTCTACTTATTACCAATGCCTTTACATTGGAAATACAGACGTACCGGTATTGAAGTATTGTTGCTGTTCAACTGGTTGGAAGCTAACCAAATGGTTCTAATGGCTCAGCTAGACCAGTTGAAGTATAACTGGCCTGGATCAACTGGATCATTTAGCCCATTTCGATTTCCAGGATTACCAGTTGGCATTAAATGGTTCATCAACTGGACCAGTTGCAACTAGCTTTCTCTTCTGGGATGTTTGCACCTACCCCCCTCCCCCAACCCCCTTTAACCCCAAACTGCTACCAGCGCGCCTGGACGTAATTATGGAAGATCCAAGACACGATGTTCAGAAACGGAATGATTATTATTATTTTGGTTCATTTATTGTGTAACATTTGCGTAATTATTGGGTTGAACGCGGGTTACAGTAACATACTTCCTCTTCGACGTAAATTTCACGTGAATGAAGAACATGATTCATCTCAAGTCAGCCTCGTAATATTCACGTGAATTTCACGCAGATATTTTGACTAAAACTATCACTAACGCTTCAGGTGTTTCTGTGACGCGATAATTTCGTTAATGAAGATGTAATTTCATAACCAAACAAACACGGGAGTATTAGGTTTACAAACCATGGTCTCCAAGGTAGGGATAATCACGTTATTATAATGGTGATATTGCAGTGACAATTGCGTGATTTAGTGTAAGTGTGTTTTAAGTTACCTAGTGCAATAAACGTATTAACACATTTACGTAAATGCCAGGTGTTTGAAGAACGTAACTCTCCTCAAGTCGATACCTTGATATTGACGTGATTTTCACGTGATTTTGTTTATTGGGAGCATAACAATCATAAAATGGCACTTCAGTAGAGATTGTTATTCGACGTGATACCAAATGAGGCAATAGAGGAAGCCAAATTAAGCCCAATCATTTGCAAAAGAAAGCATAGGCGTACATTAAGATAGTAATATCGAAATGTCTCTTCAATAAAGACTAAAAAGTTAAATTATATGTATTTTGCTTTCTTTTTTGAATTACTTGATGGACGGATTCCCACTATTATACAATTTTTCACAACTGCGCCAGGAGTGTCAATTTTCAGACATGGCACATTATAAATGTTCACTATTATTATTTTTTTACTCGACGTGACAACAAATTTAGCAAGCATAATGTTTTAAATAGAGTGAACCCAATTGAACCCATTGACTGCGAAACGAGCATATCAGTGAATTAGAATAAAAAACTATATTGTGTGCATACACGACATTATTTTTATATATGTATCAAAGGCTTAATGATACAAATACAAATGCAAGAAATCTATAATTAAAAGAAGAAAACAAACTATACCTTTTTCAATTTCTCCTTGTGACTTTTAGTGAGGTCTTCCAGGAAGCCGCTCATCTCTAAAACGGAAATTCTCACTTTAGCGAGCCAATAATTTATGTGATATCAAGTTCCAGTTTCAGCTTCATAATCTCACTGAAGCTGAAAAATCTGTAGACTCTCCGACATTTGATTTTCTTTCAGATGTGTGTCTTTCTTGATTCCACAGACTCACTGCCTCAATGCTTTAGAGCATTGATGGACTGATTCTTAATGCGATAACTTCTATAAATAGGACTGATCCGTGGTTTCACAGGGAGCAACGAGTTTGATCCGCTTCACATATCAGCCATACAAATCCTACCTTAAATTTGGATGCGTGTTGCTTTTAAAAATTCTCCCGATCAATTGAAAACTCAGAATTATTTAGAGCTCTCTGCCGTCTGAAACAATCGTTTAATCAAACAAACAAACTACCAAATATCTGTCTTGCGAACTGTTACGATTTTGCGCAACGGTATTAGATACAAGATAACATATTATCGCGTTTAAGTATGACGACATTGACGAGTCAATAATTATCGGATAACCAGGTTGATGAACCCATCTTGTAATCGCAAAGGGGGTCAAAGATCAGAGATGGTAGTGCACAATAATTTGTTTGTATCTGTAGTATGATAAAATATGAGGAGATCTTTATGAACAATATTAATCAATCTTAATAAGATCAGTTAAGGTTTCCTAACCATTAAAAATGACCATGCATTTCAAATAGCAAACGATTACCGTATAATGAATACACTGTATTTAGATTTAGCTACCTCTGTTTGTGTGTGTCCGGGCGGGTGGGGGGGGGGTCCTATTGAATGTCCCAGGAATTGATAATTGGCATTCAAATCAAATTAAAACCAACCTTAAGCAACTCCAAAAGCCTTGTTCATCATTTTTTTTTAATATGTGAACATTATAGTGAAATATTAAATATTTCGAACATAATTTTTAGATGGGATATACACAAGAGTATTGAAATAACAGATGACTTGATTTTTCGAAAATATATTTGCGATGGCGTTACTACAAACAGGCTCACATCAAATAAATTTAGAGAGAGAGAGAGAGATAGAGAGTGGGGGAAAGGGGGTGGGAGCGGGGTGGTAAAGGTGGGCAAATAAGTTTGGAGCAACATAGAAGTTAGAAAAGACAGCCATATTGTGATACTCAAGAGTCAAAGTTAAAACACAGATCCAATAAACAAATTGAATTCTATGTAATTGATTCAACATTCCCGGCAGAGAATAATGTACAAGTAAAAAATAGCTTTGCAAAATTATAGTTCTTACTTGTGATACCACGCAAGTTGGTTATGAATAACTGCTAAAAAAAAGGAAAAATCAAACTTTCTAATTCATCATAAAGCTCACAAAATACAACAAGGGTCTATAAAAGGATAGGTTTATCCTGGTACCAAGTAATCTGCTCACGGACTGCAGTAAATGTGTTTGAGGTATATATACAGGCGCGTACGCAAGGGGGTATTTTTATTTTTTTGCTGAAGCGGGGGAATGTGTGCTGAGTAAAAAAAAAAATCATTGCTCACTCCCCCCCCCCCCCCCCCCCACCCCACTGAGCGAAATATCGGTCGGCGCGATTTTCTATTTTCAAACACTCTCCTTGAAAAAATCGTGCGTTCGCCACTGCTACCCCTTCACAGGTTTTTGAAGTTTTGTTGTATTACAAAATTACATTCTTTAGCATAATTATAGAATAAAATCAAGCAATATACTGCTTTCACACTTCACTTTTACTGCTTTGCCGGTATTTAGTGTGCAGTCCGAAGGGTTGTAAATAGTAAGTAGGCAGGAAGCGACTTTTTAAAAGAGCAAGCTGAATAATAATTTGTTTAGCATTGATCTTTTTCCGTAAACTCTTAATCTTGTAAACATACAGTGTAAACTGTGCTTACGTGTTACCAACAGAATACATATATTCTACAATATTTACTTGAAGGATATTATGCGAGGGAGCGCAGCGACCGAGCGAGAAGATTTTTTACATTTTGTTTTAGTCTAAACGCTGCACTCTTGGGCACTCCAGAACATTAAAAGTGTGTTGCAGTCTTTAGTCAGTATTTGCTATACAATTTTTTGTGTGCACTTTTTCAAATTTTCTGAGGGGGTGTTCCTCTCTACGAAAAATTGAGGGGGACGTGTCGCACGCCCCCTCCCTCCCCCCCCCCCCCCCCCCCCTCTGTGATCGCCGCCCCTGACTCGCACATTTCACGTCCAATTGCAGAACGCCCTAGCTATGTCCAAGGGAATAGATCCTCGGAAGGTGGGGCATCTCGCAAAAGACATAAGGATATATGTGCACAACATCCTCATCGCGAGCGTGCAGTTTGTGACATGCTGTCGTGTGAAAAAACTCCATGGGTGCATTGTGACGTGTGTGGACGTTGGCTCCACCTACTTTGTGTTTTGCTCAAAAAGTATCCACAAAAAAGGACTGTGTATGCCCTATTTGTGAAGCGACATATCAGTAAACCTCAATTTTAGGCCACAGTCCATGGGCCAGTACCCAAATGTTTACATTTCGGTCTCTTCTCTAAATTGCCCCCCCCCCCTCTCCCCAAAGAAAAAGTATTTTCAAATTCTTACATGTATGCACAATATATATTAAATTAAATTCTAATCAATTCAATTTTTTTTTATTCATCAAAATTCACAAGAGTACATGGAGAAAACAATTTGGTCACACATTGTACAAACACGAAATATATATTTGACAAACTATATCGTTGTGTTTATAAAACATAGACAAGATAGAAATATTCATATATTCTAGTATTATACATTGAAAATGATGAAGGATAGAACATCAGTGTAAAGGACTGAAGAAAGGAGGGAAGGAAAACCACACCAAGCGGATACTTCGGCCCAAATGCTCTTCGCTCCATTTGATTGTACACATTTCATTTGATTGTTCCGCGCCTCCACCTCCCTTCACCCGTTCCCTAGGGAGCTCGCTTCGCGCGCTCTGTAAAGGCCCGGTCACACAGAGGGGACGCATGGGGAACGCACGGCCAGCGCATTGGAAATTTGCAATTTTGGCCAGTATGTTGTCGTGCGCCCAACTTTTGTCGAAGCTACAGCGAGCTGACACCAAATGCATAGCGTGTTGCTAGCGCGCTGAGCGCATACAGGGCACATACAGTGCGCATACAGACCGTACACAGAGCGCACATGATAACGACTTCCACGAATGCACAGCGTGTTGCTAGCGCGCTGGACGAATGGTCCACGCATGCACCGCGTTCTCAACAGAGGTGGTCACAGACGACGCACGGCCCGCGCATTGGAAATCGGAAAAGGCCGTGTGCCTAAATTTTGTCATCATTTTGGAAAAGCTAGCGAGCTGACACAAAATGCTCAGCGTGTAGCTAGCGCGCTGTGCGTATACAGGGCGAGTGCTCCGCGTATGTCTGGCGCTGGTCTAGCGCGCTCCACGCATGTCTGGCGTGCCTTTGGCGTGTACATTCATGCGTCGAGCTCCGCGCACACTTTTGAGCATGCTCAAAAAATCCCGACGCACACAGCGAATGACGACGAATGCATAGCGTGGGTCCAGTGCGCTCGACGAACGAGTAACGAATGATGACGCACGCCTAGCGAACGACAACGCACTGGCCAAAATTGCAAATTTCCAATGCGCTGGCCGTGCGTCCCCAATGCGTCCCCTCTGAATGACCGGGCCTTAAGTGATTGCTACCGCCCTCTAAAATAAAATCCTAGCTACGCGCCTGCTTGCCCTTAAACTCTTTGAGTCCTCTCCGTAAGAAATTCTTTATCCACAAAATTAAAGAAGATGGTACGTTCATCCTAAGTAACTTTTGCAAGAGAATATGGGTCTGCATAGTATTACATGCGTATGACAAATCTGCGAACATGACCCTTGGATAGCATCCAAGTTTGGTCTGTTGTGCGATTTCTTGAATCAGTGTTATGACGGCGTCATTAAAGGACTTCTTAGGTTGATATGCGAATTAAAGTTTGCCGAGAAGATGGAATACTGATGGGGAGAGAAACTGCATCAGGAGTCTCTCAAAACACGCGATTGGTCGATAATCATTCAGCTTTAATAATAGACGCATGGTTTGTTTTCGGTACAGGAATCACAATCGCCGATTTCCAGGTGGCGGGAGACTTGGATTCATTCAAAGACTTACGAAAGTGGTGTTTTCACATTGACATCCTTTAAATTTATATATATATCGAATACTTTAAAAGACAACCGTACAACTAAAAGTGAGGGCAGGGGCGGCCGAGCGACTTCCAAAGTGGGGGGGGGGGGCACCAACAAAAAGGGCACTTTCTGGAAAAAAGGGCACCTACAGTGGGAAATCTCAAAGCGAAAATATACAATTTTTTAGACATTGGTATATACCCCTACATTGTGATTACATTATCAGGGATGATTTCAATATTTTTTTCTCTTCATACATCATACAAGATATCGCTTAAGCATCATACTTTAGAGCTGGGTGTGATGTCTGAATATGCATTTACGAGCGAGCGAAGCGAGCGATAAAATTTTAAAGATCTGTGAGGTCGCAGTGCGAAAAATTACACCTTATAAAGAGGAAAAAGCCAATCGTGATGGGGTTATAAGCACATTCTCATAACGGAAGACTGAAAAGACCTTTAATAAGTAACATAATTATATCATCTTTAAATGCGAGCGAGCGCAGCGATTGAATTTTTGGGGAAATTGCTCTTAGTCGCTTTAAATAAGGGGCACGTTTAATGATTACATGAAAAGGGGACAATTATCGAAAGGGATAATACACTTATTAGAAAAGAAAAGGAGTACGTGTCAAAGTATAAAGGATAATTATAAGAGGTGAAAATGAGGCATATTTTCACCTGAAAAGAGGCACTCACCAGTGATGAAAAAGAGGCGTTTACGAAAATGGGAAATAGGCATTTGTTGACGGAAAAGGGGCACCCATCATATTTTGATAGGGGCATTTATAAGAGGTGAAAATGGGAAAGGTCCCTTATTAGAAAAGAAAAGGGGCATGTATCATTATTAAAAGGGGAATTATCAGAGTTGAAAAGGGGCACTGACCAGATATGAAAAGGGTCACTTATGAAAATGTAAAAGGGGCACTTATAATAAAGGAAAATGTGCATTTGTTGAATAAAAAGGGGGCACCGTTCAGATTTTTAAAAGGGGCAGTTATGACAAGGGGAAGGAGCTCTTTCTTTTTAATAGGGGGAACTTATCATAAGGAAAAGGGGCACTTATTAGAAAGGGAAAGGGGTCAGGCGCGTACGCAGGGGGGGGGGGTGTTTGGGAGTTAACCCCCCCCCTTTGGTATTTTTTGTGTATAAACCCCCCTAAAAAAAACGAACCCCCCCCCCTTTGTTTGTTCGTTTTTTGTTTTTTGTTAATAATAATTTAAAAAAATTATTCCCATGGCTGACCTAAAAAAGGCGACCTTCCCCCCCCCCCCCCCCCCCCCAACGGAGCAAAATGTCAAATTTTCAAATTTCGAGACCAAAAAAAAAAAAAAAAAAAAAAGTGTCCTCTTACTAAATTGGGTTACAATGTATATTCATCGTTAGTGAAATTGTAATACAATATACAATGGGCAAATAATTGTTTCCAAACCAATGATTTAGGTGAGAAGAACTTACATTCACTATTGAAGCTGTTGCCGTTGTATATACATGAACTTGAAATAATAAGTAGCCTTGAAAGTGTCGTAATATATCATGTTTGGGTGAGGTTGAAGTTTAACGATGTAGGTTTGTTTGAGACTATATATCCTTTACACTGTTTTATTAATGAGATATATTTCCAATCAAATCAAACTGAAAGATATTTTCGAAAAACTTAACAATATCAATCTGGATTGATATTGTTAAGTTGTTCGATAATATCATTCGGGAAACAATGGTGAGTAACCAGTGGTATGAACGGCCTTCCATAGTTCAAGTCCAACTTAAGTCGATCTTAGTCTTTGTGAAACACTACTCAGGTTTAATTTCAAATTTTTGGGCAAGGGGTTTAAATGGAAACAAATCTCCCAGCCCCACTTTCCCGGTTTCCCACCCGAAGCTGCTAAACAATATGTATACGTACTTTAGAAGACTATTAGCTATTGATTTCATATTCATTTTTTTGTATATCAATAGTCATTCATTGTTTTACTCTTGATACTAAATTTACTCAGAAATATTTGTTTATCATAATGTATATCGCTGTAGAACATGTATTTCAATTCATGTCATGTTATATATATATATATATATATATATATATATAGGTTATATTGAAATTGTCATTGCACATTGATAAATATGTTGTTTCAATGGTTTCAATGGTCGCGAATAAATACATTTAATTCAACTCCATTCAATTTAACCGTGGAGCTTTTTTAGCACATTACTACCTTTTAGAACTATGTAGCTGTTATTATACACTGTATCATAAGGAAAAGTGCTTTGTAGATCCATATATCATTAGTTCACGTGGTCGCCATTTTGTAAACCACTCCCTGTAATCGTTAATCATTGAGGTTCATGCTATCTGCTCCTTCCACCATCTCCTGAAACTCTGGTTCTACGTCACTAGGCTCCAATAGCTCCAGCCAATAGGAGAGCTTCTTTGATTTAGTCCAGCTGTGACTGTTGTCAAATCGTGCAACGTCTGTTAGAAAGAAGAATAGGATACTGAAAATTCACATGATGGCAGTCACCTGATATTTTCAACGAGTTTTACCACGTGACGTGAAGAAAGCATACTAGTGCCTACTGCCTGTTGCCCCTGTTGCACATGGAGCTTCATTATTTTTGACTGTTTTCAATCCAGAGACCGGGGTAATTATACGATGTGAATTGTTTTGGTCAATTATTTAACTGGAAAAGCTAAAACAGTTCTTATTAACGGTTGAAACCAAATGAAAGCATTTAGTGCATGTTCACTCGTAATTCGAAGCGATGTTGACATTGTTCAGTGTTTATTCGTTGTACAACATTAATCTTACATGAGGTGTCAACAAACATCATTAGCCGATGATGAGTGCTAAGTCAGACAAAGTACACATCGTTTACAACGGGCTTACGTCATGCCGATCACCAGATATACGTTTTAACATATGATAAAAGCACCCAAAAATATGACACTTTTTTTTTTTCGTCTTTCTCTTTTTGCTCGATTTTTGTTTAAAATTGTGCCCCATCCCCACCCCAGAATCGTTCGTCCACTATTAAAAAATATTATTTCCATAAAACGTGTTATCTGATAAGTAATCCAAATATGTCCTACTAAAATTCTAAACATTAGTTTTCGACAACAATTTCAGTAAATCCTACCTACATGTGCCAGGTTCAGCGATCATGAGTTCTCCGTTCTCAGGTACCATGTGACTGTTGTACTTCTCCAGTTTCAAAATGGCAGTCTTCTTACCCTTCGCGTCCACGAGATCAAACCCAAATTTGATGTCACTGCAATCCGTCTGAAACTCATACCTATAACATTGATGATACGTTGAAATTAGAAGAAGTTTTATGTATCACTGGCCGATTTGTAAAAGGGGGCACAATAGTATAGAATAAGCTCACTTTTTGCATTTTGCTTATCAAAAATGTTCCTAAGTTTGGAGGAATAATTGTATTCTCAAAGCATCTGGGTTGCATACTTGTACCTGTGTTACGCAGCCAAATCGACTCCACACCGACAGATTATTGGTTCTTGGGGGCAATGTAATAAATTGCTAATTCGGTCTGATGACGGTCTTGTATCGTTTTCGTAATTGTGATTAGTGTATATGAGTGTAATGAACTATCAAAACTCATAGGTTTGTACCTCATGACGCTGTTGGCGTTCTTGACTTCATACTTGAATTCGATGACTCCCCCTCTTGACACTTCATGCGTTGTCAGTGTATGCGGCGGTTCACGGTCCTTTAGGTAGAATGACTTGGGAATTTTGCCACCCACTCTTATCTACACGAAAGAATAATAAGAGCTTCGATGTTGAATATGAAGCATAAAGGCCACATAATTACAGACAATATTAACTATTTATAATATTTTACTAAGAAAATGGGAGACAAAAATACCGTTATCAGTTGCTCGATTCAAAACCATGAGAATGATTTTATAACTTCTGAAGCAGGAAATATGAGTAACGTATTGACTGTATATAGGTAGAGTAACATAACATGTTCGAAATGAAAATCACGACAATTCAAATCAATCCCATTTAAATAGTTGAATGAATACGCCCTCTGTTATTAGATCGTATATCGTGTACATGCAAAGTTGATTATAAATCATCGGGAAAAATGGATTCCTGTATCAATTCGCACATGAAACATTAATTGAGAGCTATAAACATAAATAGTCGTGTACAGGTCGTACACTTAGGTACTGTAAAAATATGCTTTTTATATTAAAGCAAAGTAGAGAACATTTGTATAGTAGCTGCGCTATATGAATGGACATATTATTATTATTTATTATTAAAAGATTATTTTGAATCACCAGTGAAGTACACATCTCGTTTCCATCAGGATCTGTCTTGGTTCCTCCCCAGTAAACCGGTAGCTGATCGGGGTCTATTTGCTTCAACAAAACCTCCTTCCAATTACCTAGAAATTAAGCAGAAAACCATACTTATGTTACCCCCTTTTTTCCTACTGGTCGTAGCAAATTGAGCACTACGCTATACCTTCACAAAATCGATCTTCGCCTGTCACAGTTTATGAAAGATATACACACTCCATTCTTACATTTTCATCTTATTCTACACCGTATTTTTGTAAACTAAGATTAAACACAATTCAGATTAAAAATTCAAAGCTGAGATTCTTACTTCCCAAAACCTGGATTTTCTTTCTGGTGTCCTCACGGAGGAAAGGCTTGACTAATGAATAGGTCACCGGGAAGATCTTGGGTGCTCGGATGATGAAGAGACGGTAGATCAACTCTGGATAATGCTGCTCAGCAATCACAGCAGTCTGTCATAGTTAAGAAAATAGTTCATTATATAACTTTTTTCTTCTTCAACATTTCTATTTCTGTGTAAGCATGATTTAACGAGACAGGACAGTTTAACTTAGGTATTGGAGGCATTAAGCAATTGGATCCTGTAGCAAGTGGGAGTAGATCAGAAGCATATATATTGGCAAAATATCATATATAGGGAAAAGGAAGACAAATAAGCACAATTGTCATTTGGAGGGGGTGGGGTTCGAGGTGTCATGGAGTCCTCCCTCCTTTTTCCTCTCTCTTTCTCTGTTTTCATTTTTCCCTCCCTTAATTTTTCGCCATTTGATAGTGTCCCTAGTAGCTACGCCATTCCTATCAATGTGGGGGTAGACAACTGAGGATCAAAGCTTGCCAAAGTGCACTACATGTGCACAGACTTGGTTTTGGAAGCACACATTGGTTTTTATCGTTAATCATCCCACCATGTTATGAACGTAGAAATATGCAATATAATTATGAAAACATATTATCAATAACAATTCATTCAGCAGACATGTTATTAACCAGGACACAATTTTGTATGGTAAAAGATGGTAACATTTTAAATGCTTGCCTTGATGAACATATCAATAGCCGGTTTCCATAGATGATGTACTCCAAGGTTCTCCATGTCAAAGATCATCAAAGATCCCTCAGTATGCTTCAATCCTCTCTGAGATAATACAAACATGTTGGTAGTCAAGGGGACACGAATACACACACCATTTTAGATGAAGCTAACCTATAAAATTCATAGTCACATTTGGATAACACTTAATACGACGTTTCAAAGCACTTTACAAGTGATCTTAATTATCATTACCTATGTTAATATAATCTCTTGGGTAATTTAGCTCATGCACCAGTAATTAAACAGTTATTAAAATGCAATGCTTGGACTATTCTTTTCGCATTTGACTTTATACGATGCCTCCCTCAGTCATTGACACAGTCTTGCGTTAATAAATGACGCCTTGTTTATACAACGGGCACAAGGGGTGATTATAGGGACTTTTAGATTTGCACGTAGACAGCTTTGACTGCAACGTGTGACGTCATTGTATTGCTCTGCGCTTGCGTCACGTCGTCTCAGTCGGCGATCGAGAATGCCTCAACCTTGATTTTCCCAAATCTAGTACGGTACTAGTATGCCGCGTGCGCATAAAATATACAGTTCCTCAGATAGACAAAGGACCATCCCTGCTATTATGTAAAAATGTGTAGAAGAGGTGTCACATGCATATTCACCTGTTCTACACATTTTTACATAATATTAGTGACGGGATGTTCTTTTGTCTACCACAGCAATTGTTGAGGGTAGAATGAGGAACTGTATATTTTATCCTCTTTCTTTGTCCTTCATGTCCATAGTGTTATTTCTTGCATGCATGTATATCGTCGAGTGCAATCTAATAGGCCAGTTTCGTAATGTAACCAAATTTAATGCATACGTCTTTGTGAAGTGCCTCAATACAAATTGTTGCATTCACCTGGTAGGAATAATAGTATTTCAATAGTCAGAATGCAACTGCATATATTAAGTGTTGCTAGGTAGGTCAAGTCATAATGTTTGTCCAACCTGGCAATACTAATGTATGCAGTTCGGGTTCTGTCTAGTAGAATACTATTATTCTTATCAGGTGAATAAAATAATTTGAATTGAGGCACTTTACAAAGACGTATGCAGCAAATTTGGTTACATTACGAAAATGGTATAATGTAGTCAACCTGGGCAGTTGAGTACGTTGACACGCATGATCAGTCGGCGTTCATCGTGTTCTCGTCCACTCAATCTAAAAGTCCCTATTAGGAGTAGATCTCATACCTGTTCAGAGAACAGCTTGTGACTCCTGAACTGGTATTCAATTGAATGGATGTAAGTCTTCAGAATGTCACTGGCCTTCGCCGAAAATAAGACCCCTTGAATAAAAAATTATTTAAAATATAGAAAGATATAATAAACAATAATAATAATAATACAATATTTATATAGCGCATAATAAACATACGTTTCTCTATGCGGTGTACAAGGAATCAATACAGAGAAAAAAATAATATCTTTCCTTAATTCCACATGATTTTTGTATTAATCGAAATGTAAGTATAGATTCCAAAATATATGTAGGCACTGACAGCGAAAATATGAATATAAATGAACGAAACCTTGCTGTAAATTACACACACATCCACGCACACGCACACACACGCATACACACACACACACACGCACAAACTAGTTGTGCTCATTCCTCAGCTGTTCCTCAGCTGAGTTTAATTGTTTGGCAGGAATCAGTTAATTGTAGATTCTTGAACATTCAAGTCAATTTTGATTGATTCATGAAAGAAATATTGATAATTATCAAAATTCAAAATCAAATTTATCTCAATGAATACCTTTAGGATCAAAGTTTCCAACCGGTGATATGTAGATAGCATGACCCTCTTTATCCAACCCACACACTCCGCCGCACCAGTACTTCTCGAAAACCTAAAATGTAAAGTATTGTGTCAATATTATGCAAATATCGATCAAATCTATTGCCTATTGTATCTGATTGTTGAAGAGGAATGTCAATCATGGTAAATACCATGTTTCAATATAAATCTAAAAGTGTGGGGAAAACCAGATGAGTGATATTTTGAGGAAATTCCATCCAAGAAAGTTATAAAATCCGATAAATTAAACAATCAAGGAAACACTTTCCTCGTACAAACAAATGTGTATTAACAGGGCACACCCCTACCCTTACCATCGGATAGCCAAAAAGGGTAGGGAAGATTTTTATTTTATTTTTTAAAGGCAATTTCCTGATTTTTTTTTCAGTGCAGTACGAGAAAATACTTTTCAAAGCAAGATGCCTAGATGTTACTGTCTTCCCAACTCTCACTCTGTTTTTCTCAAGATGAACATTTTTCTCCATTGAACAAAAAGATAATGTTTAAATATGAGCAATGGGATTTTGTTAAAGAGATATCCAAATTGCATTCATCTTTTGCTTTAATAAAAATTATCCCTGATAAAAATGTTGTACGAGTTATATCTGACTTTCTGAAGAACATATCAAACCTAAGAAAATATACAAGTTACCTAAATATTGCCTTTTGGCAAGATATTAATCTAAATTTGCGATACTCCAACCAAGTGAATTAAATGAGTACCCGGTAAGGTGATTGCAGGGCCCTCTGGGAGAGACATATTTTTATTTTTTATAATTATTGCTATTATTATTATTATTATTATTATTATTATTATTATTATTATTATTATTATTATTATTATTAATATCAATATTAATATTATTACCTCTGGGATCTTGTACCAATCAAAAATGGTGCTGACCTTATTTTCTTCTCTCCACTTGATATCCTAAAACAAAAAAAGAAATTGAAAAGCTAAACGAAAATGATGTAACAGGTGGGCATTTCCTATGTGCACATTATGGTAACCAATGGTTAACTGTTTGCGAGCAAAAACAAAAACAAACAAACTAAAGATGATATTTTTTTGTTGTTGCTAGTCACTGGCTCATAAAGCATTAGTTTACGCTTGTACTTTGACAACTAGACATATTTATATGGGAATGACAGAGATGATTAAAGAAAATATTCATGTTTTAATGTGAATGAACATTATTTTACATAACTTTTGATAGTACTAACTCACCATTTTTAACATCTTCTCTGTCCTTTTCAGGTCAAATTTTCTTGCTGTTAGGGACTAAAACATAAAGTTGATCATTTTGGTACTGTTAAGGGGGGTGGAGTTGGACGGGGTTCTGGGAACTATACCCGCCGGCTGTTAGACTGATCAAATTTTTGCGAAAAAATAGATTGTCTAGGTAAGTGTTATGAACATGCTTAGTGAAACACCTTCGGGATATACTCTCGGCCTATATGCTCACTACGACATCATCCGAGGGGAAAAGAAGGAAGGGATGAGGGGGGGGGGGGAGGGGTCGAGCATTAATCTATCTTCCCTGATGGGGGATGCAAATGCATGAATAATTGTTTAACGCTCCATACAACAGACACATAGTATATTCAAATATAATTTACCATATTTACGGAGGCACAAATACAAATACGGTACTCTGCTGCAGCTCATTATGGTATATGTTAAAAATATTATTTTCACAACCTTTCTCAACCAGCAATTTCCCAACTTTTGTGAAAGATGATTTCCTTGCACTTTAATTTCTATAATTAATCTTGACTTCTTAATGTCTGTGGGGGTGGGGTGGGGGGCACACTCTGCACCCCGCCTTCATATTCACATGCTTGAGGGGGAGGGGCGGGGCAATATACTTACCCCTAAGGAACTTCAAGAGTAAGACATCGTCATGCTCTGGCTTAAGAACGTCTGCAACATTTTCCTTGAACTGAGTGGAAAAAAAAGATGACAGGGAAACTAAGCTACGGCATTGTTCGTGACAACTTCAAACATTTAACTCATTTTATCAATACAACACAGCGTTTGATTCTGGGATTCGATTGTTTGTCTTAGCAAGCTGAACTTTTCATTACAGGACATTGATTTCTCGTTGTTTAAATATCATAATTTCAACACTGAATCATTTCAACAGTGAGGAGGCGAGTTGGCTCAGTGGGTAAAGCATATGCATGTCGAACAAAAGCTCCAGGGTTCGAATCCATATACCAGGCGGACGCATGCTATGTTAAGTGGAAAACACCCTGTCTCTCGTAAAGGACGTTAAATGAAAACCCCGTGTACAAGAGCGTCACCACCTTTGTACGTAAAAGAACAAACTGCACTATTCGTTTAAGACTAGGTGGAAACCCCGTTTTAGTGGTCCACCTGCACACCCCCATTTAGTTATACCTGGAGGACAGACCTAAGGGTCACAGTGGTTCGCTTTTCGCCTCTCAGACACAAGTGACGCCAATACTTTACAGTGCGTTCCAGAAAAAAACGAAACCGAAAAGTATCGATGTTCTATCATAACTTAATCACAACTATAATTAATGAATGATACATATTTGGAAAGCTTAGAGTCTCCTCTTTTATGTGATGCTACTCAGATAATGCATATTTCACGCATTAAACGAATTCGTTTCACTGGCTGCCTGCCGTATCAATAAACGAAATTAACAAAAGACTTAACTCCGTTTCGTTGACAATCAGCCGTAGACGAGAGTCTTTATGCATGGCTGATTGTCAACGAAACGGAGTTAAGTCTTTTGTCAAATCTACTTTTTGCTACGGCAGGCACCCAGTGAAAACGAATTCGTTTGTTAAAATTATGAAAATGTAAGGGCTACTTTAAACAAACAGAACTTTGTTATTCCTGGCTCATTTTTCTTGATTGAGGTATCATATGAAAGAGCAGAAAATGAACTTCCTAGAAATATGAATTTTTTACTTTGGAATTCAGATACCGCCTGCCAAATTACTTTTTGGTTTCCTTCCTTCAAATTGCTTTTAGTCACTCATGCGTGAAACATGCATCACGTGAGTAGCATCAACTGAAAGAGGAGACTCTAAGCTTTCCAGATATGTATCATTCATTAATTATGGTTGTGATTAAGTTATGATAAAACATCGATATTTCTCGGTTTCGTTTTTTCTGGGACGCACTAATATTAGCAAACCCAATAAAAACCGTAGTTGAGATAAATATCAATGCCCCATAAATAACATGTTTATTTTATACGCAGCATCAATAATTGATGCCACAAATGTAAGACATGTTTTTTCGAAGCTCGTATTGTTTTCTCTGCTTTAAAAAAAAAAATATGTAGTTTACTTCATTATTCGATAGCATCAATAGACTTAGAATTTGAACTTGAAACCATAAATGCACTCTAAGTGGACCTTTAACCGAACGAAGGTGCATTAAATGTATTTATGTGATGATAATAACAAGGCATGTTTATGATACAGTGTAATGAAGAAAAAAAAGATTCTTTACCTTTCTTAATTTCTCCTTCTGGCTATCTGAAAGGTTACCCGGGAAGCCGCTCATATTGACCTTAAAAATGGCAACACTTCGTAGGGTTACGGAAAGCTTTGACGACTAGGCTCACTTCCTTCAAATCCTCTTCTCATGTATACACTTTGTATTTGCATGTGGACGCTTGGATCACAGACAGCTTACCATTTCAAATGCATTTACCATCAATTACTCTACGAACCACTTTTCATAAAACTCTTAACTACAGGATCGAAAAACATGGAAGCAGAGAGAAGCAAGACCGGGTACTTTTTGGATGTGTGTTGCGATGCACTTCTTATCATAACAGATCATTAAAATCTTACAATCTGGTGCTCCTGTACTCTAGGGCTTCATATAATTATATTTACCATAACGTCAGATTACGCGAACTCGTATCTGTAATTATCGTACGCCAGATGTAATTATAACTGATGGAGGAGGTCAAAGTCCATCACAGAGGACTGCTCTTCACACCTAACACATCGAAGGGAAGAAAAGAAGCAACGAAGTTCAAAACAAGTGGGGTGAAAGATTTCAATCTCGGAGATATCGGAATGATTTGTGTCCTGCAGGGGCGAAGCTAGTCTTTTTTGGAAAGGGAGGGGTTCCAGACCCAATGTGTTACCTATGTAACATCATCAAGCATTTTCCAATAGAACATTTTTTTTTTAAATACATACATAAAGAAAGAAAGACAAATTAGTTTTGCAAATTACTGACAAGGCTCTAAGGGCATGTCCTGAAAAGGGGGATGCACATCCCTGAATCGCCCCTTCAACCTTTAACCCTCCATAACAGAGACACCTCTGGGGCTCTATGGTTGACTCTGATGCCACGCATATCGTTCTTGATATCGCACCCTCGTATTATTATGTTTTGTTGATATCCTCTGAAAAAAGGTGTATGAGGTAACTGGCCAAAGGTATAGGTCTAATGCACTTCATTAAGTTACACATAAAAACAGCTGTACAATCACAAGTAGTGGCGCAACTATTGGGGGACGTGTCCTCCTCCCCCCCCCCCCACATCGGATGGCGAATTTAAAAAAACGAGAAAGAGGAGAAAGATAGAGAAGAAGAAAGAGGAGAAAGGGAATGAAATGTGAACAAGAAAATGATAGGACCCATACACTCCCTCCCCTATGTTGAGGCCTTGTTCATTTTTCTTTCATCCACCTGGTAATATGACAATGGCCCCCTGATGTTGGTGCACCATACATGCAACTAAGCTATTCCACTATTCATTAACTAAATTGTCCATTACTTATGTTTCCTTTCAGCATCATAATCATATAAATTCGTTAATTAGTCGTGGGCACGTCACTAGTATACTGATTTAAACAAAGGGGCGTATCCAGGATTTTGTAAAGAAGGGGGTAGGAGGATCTATTTCAGATATTTATATCAAGAAAAGCATATAAAAAGAGAGTATTGGTCTCCTCATGGATAGTCTCCCCAAGTTTGTTTTGGGTAAAAAAAAAAAAAGAAATTGAAAAAAAGGAGCACATATTTTGATTGATTAAAGATATGGCGAATATCCCCATTAATACGAACATAAGTACACGATACAAAATGATTATCAACGTAGGTAAACGACTGCTACTTACCCTAAACTGGATTACAGTTATTTTAATGCTATGAGAAACTACATGCCTACCAAATAATATATGGTATTTCTATGAACCTCCTACCTCCTTCATCCCCCTCTCTCTTTCTTTCCCTCTCTGTCTCTCTCAAAAATAAATATGAATAATTCTTTTGATATCAAACCCGGACATAATAGGAATATCATAAATCAATCGAAAATCTATCATCTATCTAGACAGCGTAAAATGTGTACATTATGGGGTATGTCATTCTGTGATGTTTGAGTCTTACATTCTTGTGTTATTATTTTTAATAAATCTTTTTCATTTACAATGTTTGATATTTCTGTTTTGGTATTTTCAATGATTTTATCGTTCCTGTAGTTATTTTAGATAGAAAAGCGTTATTCATTTGTGTTTTTTAATGTTGAATGTGCGATCTCTTATAATATTTCGTTGCTATAAAGGTTTTGCAGGTTAGTGTATTTTCCCTCCCTTAACCTTTGTTTTTATATTTATACAGCTTATTTGAAATTTCCCAAGATTTTGATCTTTTTGATCCGTTAAGTAATAATTGTTTGTGTTTTATTATTTGTTCTCTAAGGTTGAATAATTTTATCAATTCTGATACCATCACTTTTGATGTTCTTTTATTTGAACTACATGTACATGTATTAGTATATCAGTATTTTTCAATGTTTTCGATTTATCTATTTGTTTATGTTTGACACGGCCCCAACGAAATCCAGTCTTGTCACTGTGTGGACTTTAACCGTGTATGAATAGATCAAGATCAAGAGAAGGATAGCTCTCGCTAAAACATTTTCAAAGTTAGGCCAAATTTTGTCAAATCGCACTATGCGTATGAGGACCAGAATAAGAGTACTGAATTGTTACATCTACCCAGTACTTATGTATGGTAGTGAAACATGGACTTAAGCCTCAGCTGATAAAAAGCGTTTGGAAAGTTGCGAAATGTGGTTTTTAAGAAGAAGGAGGAAAATCCCTTGGACTGGCAAAGTTAGTAATGAGGAAGTTCTTAGACGAGCTGGAGTGAAAAGGAAAATGATACGTGAGATGTTGATCAGGCAGTTGAAGTTCTTGGGTCACATTACACGTAAAGGGGAAATTGTGGGAAGAATAAGGTGTAGAGGAAGGAGGGGACACTTTGGATGGACAATCTGCAGAAATTGTTGGAAGAGAGAGAGGAGTAAAAGAACTGGGAGTGGTGCTAATAGAGAGGGCTAGGAACCGAGGGATGTGTAACAGCATGATCTCCAAAGTCAATCGATATGGCACTTAGAGGGATAGAGAGAGGGAATAGATAAATTCAATCCAATTCAATTCAATTTAACAAACAGACCAACAGACCAAACAAAGCAAAATAAATTTGGAGAATGTTAAATAAAATTGTGAAATACTCAAGAAAACAAAGGCAAAATGTAAAACAGAACATATCGCATTACACTCGATGAAAATTAGTACAATAATACCACTTAAGACAGGATATTGGTAATTGAACATAATTATCGATACTTGAACAATTTCCGAGATAAAAACCAAAAATAATAGCCACAGGCCGTAAAGTATTCGTTTCTTGAAATAATAAGATACCTAAGCATGAAATCAATTTGATTAAATCCTCGAGAGCTGAATACCACAGTTCTGTGTTTGTTCTATATTAAGCATCGTCACTTTCTTATCTTATTTTTGTTCACTGATCACGTGATACAATTAACAAACTGATCACATGTCTTAACCGACACTTCATTTCATGTTGCATCTCACGGTGTTTCACAATCTTGACTCATTCGAACTTAAAGCATCTTTGGCTCAGCACGCGTTGCTTTGTGAGGATTGATTCCTGAAATAATAATGCTGAAGAAGCTTGAAAAGGTCGGTTTGATTAGAACAATCTTGAACCAAGTTTGCTGATGAAGGACCTAATGCTAAGCAAGTCTACAAATTGACGAAAAGAACACCGAGTGACAGTCAAGAGCACAGTAAATGTTGTAGGAACTACTGAATGTTCATACCTGCGGATATCTCTCTGATGCAGTCCAGGACTTGGCCTATCGACCTTCTTGGGAAGCGAAGAAACACCATCCAGTCAACTCTTGGATCAGCTTGGTTGGCCAAAGGTTTAAATGGTGCTTAAATAACACCACTATAATACACAAGTGGTGATATTCTAGGTATGTGATGCAAATATACTTTCTTAGCAGTCAACTAAAACAAACAAGCACATTTTGAGAAGGCATCAAACACGGTTTCTGCAGCACCCTCAAAGACTGTATCCTTCTACCTTGGATATTTCTCTTTACGACAGACCTGGGCTTCGTTTTAAGAACAAAAAGGCTGACTCGTCGTAATTATTTTTAGGGACCGAGTACTACTTCGATTTTCCTTCATTTTTCTCGCATCAATTCAGTATCAGCGACCTGTCGGTTGGAACTCATGATGGCTGTGTACGCTCACGCAATAAGCTTCGTAGTACTATGTGGATTCACCTTGCAATATGGTGTGGTGATGGATCACACCAGCATAACTCTTAATCATACGTGCTCGGAAAACTCGATGTACCATAGCGCCAATTGCTCATATCGCGGTCTTACATCGGTTCCCCGGAATCTTCCACACGACTTGCGTTCCCTCAAAGTTTCTCATAATAACATTTCTATGCTCCTCGACAAATCGTTCGTGAACTATACACAGCTAGAAACTGTAGACGCTAGTTTTAACTCGATATACCTCATTGAGAATGAAACATTTCATGCTCTCCTGCTACTTAAGGTATTACAGCTCCATCGCAACAGTATCAGTGTCCTACCAATTTACCTCCTGGAGAAGAATTGTCATCTATCATCGCTAATCCTACATCATAATATACTCAATGGAATTCCTCGCATCTTTGGAAACAATCTGCAAGCTAATCAGTTTGCAGGAGATGGGAAGGACGCATGCGGTTGTAAGAATTTGTCACGTTTTGATTTGTCTTTTAATAAAGTCGGATCACTGGAGCAAGGAGATTTTGTAGCTTTACGGAATTGCTCCTTCGATGGATTCAACTTGAATCATAACGATATAAAGAGTCTCCCTCGTGCCGTTTTCATTGATCTACCAGCAGTACATTTACTCATCAATAATATATCATTGGCTAAATTCCACGCCGAGTCCTTTCTGGGTAATAAAGCAATAGTAAAGGTGACATTAACGAGATCGGGCATAACATCTATTGTACCGATGAATACATCGGAAATACCGACAGATCTTTTTCCATGTATAACAAAACTTTACCTACAATATAACAAATTGATAAGTATTCCAAAGTATGCCCTGGATGGTTTCGAAAAACTCCAGGTACTAGACATTGGATTCAATCATTTATCTAGTCTTCATAACGAGTCATTTTGTGGATTGAAATCGCTGGTTAATTTGATACTAG